ACGTTCTCTGATTTAGTAATGTTTGGAAGATCGGCAAAGACGCCCATAATACCGTCCAATGACCGTGGACGAGATGCGTAACATACGAGCTAGCGCTGTCACCGGCTATAGAAATAACGATTACCGCGCCGTGTGGAAGGACGACAATGGCAAACTAAACGAATGAGCTCTTCTTATTAACAAAAAATACAGAATGCAAAGTCTTTTCTTAAAACTGTCATACCTTCGCCGGCAGAAAGCATGAATCGTTCGGCAGTGGAATCTCTTCACGGAGTGTGTGCTGGCAGTACAGGTTTCATCATGTATGCGCGCGCGTGAAACGTCAGCAGCATTGATTTTTGTCAGCCGCTGGAATAAATATGTATTTATTCATACTCGTCTATCTGCTTGACATTCGTACATCCAGCAAATGATAGGGAGTACGTTTTGTGTTGCGGAATAATACATTCATAAATTTGAGTCGGCTTGCAACTACCCTAAGCACGCATTAAACTTGTTTTCTCTGTTTTATAAAGTATTTAGAGGTTATATTAAAAAGAATTCAATACACCATAGCCTGGAATGATATTTCTCACACTTGTTAGGGACTTTTTTTTTCCCAACTCGTGCGAAAAAAATCGTATTCCAGGCTCTTAGGGTGTAGGATTATATTATTCAGTCGCTCACCGGAATTTAAAGATGACACGATGTATGTGCATTTCCTGTCGTTCAAGGTCGTTCTGACCTAAATTTCGACATGAATCTAAACTTTTATAACACTTAGATTTTTTGAATGCACGTGCTTCGAAGGATTTAATTCCGATAATTGGGATGTATTGACGTGTTTGTGTAGCATTCTGGGATATTACTTAAGCGAGGGCGAATGTAACTGTATAAGAATATAACTCTGGCAACAATGGCTCAAATGTAGCCCACAATTCAACTGTAGTGTTTATTAGATAACATTTTTTATTACATGTCAATGGTACATATTTTCGACAGTAGTGACGTAACGATATGCACGTTAAACGTCATCAGTTTCTGCGTACTCGAACTGTAAGCGACGAAAACCATATCGTTTGACATGACCGTTTTCATCGTTGCTATATGAGAACTTTAGATTGAATAAAATCGATTACACGAATAATGCAATGACAATAAACTCATCAAAATGAAAACTGAAAGTCTTTTTGAAAAAGAAATTGCAAATGAGGACATCATTTCTGCCGATTAAAAAAAAAACAACGGTGGTCGTATCTACTAGCAACACGCTTAGACGTCGTCACGCAAAATAGCATATGATTCGTAAGCTTAGTGTCATTTTGATTGAGTAGATCGTATAGCTGTTTGAAACTCGTGGCGTCATGGGCTATACAATTCACTCACCTTCGGTTCGTGGATAATACTAACCCTTGACGAGACTCTTATCAACCGTCTATGCGAACAAGTGATATCAGGCGATAACCTCATATTGTTGTAGTGCTTGCACGAGTCCACAAAATGCCGTGATCCTATTGTGCTAAGTGGGTTGTTGTACCCCCTAGTTATACCAGAACACCAGTCATGCCTGCTTCCTTTTTGTGAATTATATATACAATTTTATTAATGTGAACATTTTTTTGAAAAACGCATAACCAAACACACTTTTTGCACTATATTGCTACTCCTGAAAATGTAATTTCACGAATATAGAGTGTCTGTCGGAAAGCAGAAATTCGATAATTATGAACATGTCGTCGCTATTATGAACTTCTTTCAGCGGTATTACGCAATGTCGTTAACTCTCGAATTATTGTACCAGGCGTGTGTTCATTTGTATAACATTTGTTCTGCGTGAATAGAAACGATACGTGGTCGATTTTGCTTTAGTGCAATTAAGCAGTATCAGTTTTGTACAGTAGTGATATTAAAACACCATACGCGATTTGATCCTGTTTCACTCTGCTATTTTAACTAAAAGTATTCAACGAAATTCGCATCAACGCTCGATTAAACGATTTATAAAGTACCGAATGGACGTATAAAATGATGAAATTATCCGTAGCTACCACGGGAGTTGAACATTCATTACGGATCAAATCAAAAACGAAAAAAAAAATTAAGCAATTTCAACTAGTTGAAATTGTATCCATTTACTTAATTTGTACAGTGCAATCAGTAAGCCCGGTGGAGTAAGGCTTGTGGTCGTTTGTAACGCCAGAAGCTCAAATAAATTTTCATTCGATGTTTGGTGTTCCGCGCGTTAGAGACTTCTCGCTCGATCAAACAATGACATCCGCGTTAGTTCGTGCTTAAGGAGATTTTCCATGTATACCTATCAGGAAAGATCCGGCGAGCAATTGCTCCATGCATGAAATCAACGTAAACATTATGTAACGTTCGTGATGGAAAAAAAACATTACAAAAATTTGTTATACAGTCATTACTCGAATGTTCAAATTTGTTACGTCATCATGTACTACCAATTACTTGGGAATTGTGGCAATGTTTTAATTGATAATGTAACTTAACGATTGTGAGCACAGCGAGTTCTAAAATATTATTTTGATATCAGAAATATAAAGATTGGTAATATATAATAATATAGTTCATTTGTTAATAAGTCGAAAGCCTATAGTTTGGAGCAACTATACTGATATCCTACGCGAGTTTGTACTGTAGAACTTATTCAAACTAAATGTATATGTAATAGGAAGGAATTTATATTCCGAAAACAAAAATAATGTTGCTATCTTGCTCGGAACAACAACTATGCTCACTAAAGGAAGTTGTAAACTACGTTCGTGTTTCTCGTCGCTTGGTGAATCTAAATCGCTTTCCACAATCAATGCCAATTGTCGTAATATATGCTGAGATGTATACTTTATCACAGCTTCGTCGAGCGAAATTCGATTTTTTTTACTTTGCAATATATCGATAATCGTTCTGCTATGAGTAGACTCCAGGGTCTTATAATGTAACCTAGGCTGTTTTGCATCACAACAAGGTTACCGTGTCATTGTAATTAGATTAATCAACGCAGTATTTCGGCAATCGATATGTGTCTGCAATGAAAACGTCATTAGTGTGTGCCGAGATTGTAGCATTTGGTTACTGATATAGCCAAGATAAGTACGCATATCAAACCGTAGTAATAACATAATCTTTATTATTAAATCGTACCAAGTAGACATATCATATCTCTGGTATTACGTATATATGTGGCCGCATGTAAAAAAACATTTAATTTTTTTTAAAAAGATTAACATGTGAAGAACTACGTATATAACACAAAACTGACGCACGGCTATACATAACACACGACTGTACGTAAATCAAACATTGATGACAACATAGGTGCGCATTCACCGCGATTCATACTTTATAAAAATAAATGATTCCCAACTTTTCGAGAAATGCTAACGTTCAATTCGGTATATATTCAAACATGGTTAACTACTTCGTTTTTGTAGTATTATAGAGTACTAGTATATTATTGAATTTGAGGATACGGTTGTTGATCTGTGTGATTTCATTTCTGAATCAATACTTCAATAACAAGTTATAAATAAACTTATTTTAAACGATATGTAGGCGAACATATTATAGGAACAGCATTATATTAACTTCAGCATAATTAGTAATGCTTTCAGACGTGTTCCTTAATTTCTATGGTGCATCATATCGAGTGATGACACCAGTCCCATCTATACATAATCTGTGACGTCACAATGTATTTGTGATGTGTATCTCTGTTATTTCCAAGCAAATTAACGCATGGGAAAACCGACGTTAAATGTATGCAGGAAAACGTTACTAGAATAAAGTTCAAGCTCGGAATATAGACAGCATTTTTAATTTACACACATACGTACGCATGCGCACAACGTAAAATAGTAGCTTACGCGGAAATCGACAAAATTAATTAAGCTGGATTCAACTGAGCGTAGTTGAGTGTCTAGTGTGGTCAACACAATGAACTATTTAGATGAATGCAAGTTGCCAATTAAACATTCAAGAATAAACGTCTCATTATACTGTTTACAAATGAAATGACAGATTCGGGTGCCATGAGGGACTATATAATCGAAAAAATACAAAATTAAAATAAAAGTCGGCACGGCACAGTTTTATTTAAACTGTACATTATGGTAGTGGATAATATTTACGTTATGAGCTGCTTAATACTATATTAATTTTACTTTTGGACGTGTGTATTATTTTATTTACTTTGAGAAAATCGGAACGTTATATGATCTATTTTTTTTGAACGATATATGTTACACTCCGCAGATGTCACAGGCCACTAAATGACAGAAACTATTGAAATCGCTCATCTTCCAGCAACGTAGTGGTGATCCTAGACATTCTGTCTCGACCTGAACATTTTGGTGATTGCATTTTCTCAATCAAAGATGGTATTACCATGTTCCTGACTCAGTGGTGCTAAAACACTGAAAACGAATGTACCAGGAGAACACGCAAATACAGATTTATGGATTGCGTTCACGTGATTACCCAGCCATTTGGGAAATAACGAGAATATATGCCTTCCAATGCGCAATTGGTTATATGTATTACTCACGTTGGATCATGTGGCAATATGAAATGCCTGACATCCAGAAATACCTTACCAAGACTTGTGATATAAAATAACACATTATAATTACGTATTAAACTCCCGGGGCGCAAAGAGAAACAAAATCAATTTACCATGAAAACCTGCCGAAGCTTTACTTTTCAAAATTGTGGAAACGTATATTTATGACACAATCAATAAGGATTTTGTGTTTTCTGCTTTTGAGGCGTGATCACCATTTGTATCGCGTACAGGGACTAGTTTAGTTTCATAATATAATATATCAGCGGCAAAATTAGTGGGATACTACAGCACAGTACGATATTAATGTTTCTAGAAAACGAGTACTTCAAAAACAGATTGTTCACAGCATGCATTGGACTATTCTATTATCAAAATAGGGGCGGTACAGTGATTGGGTTGTTCACTTCCTCATAGTGGTTAAGCGTCAGTTTGATCTAGGAATAATGTCGCCGCATTTATCACAGTTACTGTAGTTTCCTGTCTTTTGATTTGTTGTTTATTTATTTATTTGTACCCGTGCGGATATATTCAAAAGAATCACCATACCATTTAAGGAAGGGCACTGAAGTTCCACTCCTACGTCATCACCACGTTCAGATGGGGCATAATGATCTAATGAGCTGAAATCAACCAACCGGTGTTCCGTTCTAACTAATCGTTAATTCGTAGCGTCGCATTCGCCAACGTATAAAACAGCTCGAATCGCTCTTCGCTGGCACAAGTGACTCGAAACTTGGTACACACCGTAGCACGTCTATTCAGTGAGCGAAATAGCAAGTGTCATACACGTTGGCTACAGCTGTTTAAAAAGGTGAGTTGGCAAGCTAGTTTATACAGTTGTTATGTGCCTGTGCATACATGTGACATTTGTTATTTTCTGTTAATATAAATCTGTTTAGCATCAATCGATACGATATCTCCATTAGTGTCCATGTCGTATTAGTTTCACTGTGCGAACTATCGCCTACCACACGCTTTCCATCGGGAATTATTTAATCAGTTCGCCGTAACGCAAATCATCGCTGTTTACAGTTTTAGGACATTACGAAAAACACATTTACAAATTTATTATTTCTAATTTGGCTCAATCATGTAAACTATAGGAAATTTGATATAAAGTCTTACCGGTCACTGTTTATCAGAAACTAGAATGCTGCAGTAATTCGTCAGTCATCCTTTGAAAGAATAAACTTTGCACATATATAATATTCAAGGCACTTTATTTAATTCATTGAACTTGAAGAAATATAATATATTTCATGCGGTTTCTGACGCAATTCATATTTAATGTGAAACAAAAGCATGTTGCTTGCGGAATCCTTGTGGATGATTACGTTGAATGGTGTATCGCTAAATTTGAATCAATACGTTTCAATCGTACAATCGGTTCACCGTTTTTTTCGAAATCGCCAGGCTATAGCATAAGACACAAATATAGCAACGAGGTGTCAAATTCATACGTGATGTTATGCATTACACGTCACGCAAATAAACAATACCTGTGATCGTTGTCGATTTCAACGCACGTACGTGTATTGAGTTAAGCCGAGTCACCTATCGCAGTCGTCGTGTTGAGTTAACCGTTAACAGGAAGCATGTGTGATCGCATAAACGTATAATTTTGATTAGCCGAATATGCACACACGGATAAAGCCTTAGCATATTACATTATACATGACTTCAATGAGTAGTCATATCGAAGTTCTACATTTCGTTTCCCATGCATGCTATTCGAATTCATTGTTATAATGAACGATTTAGCGTTTTTTTTTCAACTTTGCACTGTGCTAACAAATATTTCCACTATAACATGAAATGCTCATGGCGTGACAGAAACACCAACCTCTACTCTTGCTAGGTATATTTTTTAATATAGTATTCATATTGTCGGCATCACGTGAATCATCCTGTTGGCAATATTTAAAAGATATGCATTATAGAACCAGCCTTATAACGATAAAGTAGAACAGGTGAATTACAATCCTTGTAGAGAGTACTCTAAAACACAAGATTTTATCGGCTGTCATCTCTTGTGAGTAGAATTTCAGCAATCACATTATGGCGTGATTCATTGACCACGAGTGATTACCGGGCAGTGTAAAAATATCAATCACTCCGAGTAATTTTATTAAGTGATCTTTGTTGGCGCCACGATGTTTTCTCCCCAAAATAATTGGACTGTTGATAGAATGTCCTCATTATACATTCAGTATATGATTGATTGATCGGGTAATAAAACGAGTTATTTCTCATTTAATATATGTATATATCAATCGCCGTCGTATTGCTCCTTTGACGCACCGATACATGTCAGTGCATTGCCACAGACACAAAATGAAATTGAATCGGTACACAAAAGATGGGCTTTTGATTACAATTTAACTTTGGGTAAAAGTAATCTTAGTGACATTACAGGTCAGTTAGAATGTTTTGAAACACAATGGTGCATTGATTACTTTGAAAGACATGCTGATATCGTCGATAATCGTAATTTATATATTTTTCTTTTGTACTAACATCGTTGCTAAACACGTGTGTATTGAAAGGTTTGGCTTAATTGATATACGTGTATTATGGACGCGATTATCGTGTATATTAATTGCTCACGCAATGGCAGTATTCGAACATTATAATGAATATAACTTACAATTTAAAAACAGAATAGTTTACAATACTCTGGTGACAACAACTCATATCGACTAGAAATAGATAAATGCTAAAACGTATCGTTTCACCCTTTTCTAGTACAAGTTCAATAATGACCCCCGTGATGAAATCAATCGTTTAAGAAGGAAAATCAGTATTCGTAACTGGTGAATTTCAAGTTTTATACGAAACTAAAATAATTGTGTACATTCAAAATAACACACCGATTTTCATTTATACGGTTACAAAAATAGGTAAAAAGATAAGTCGGTGGGTAAGTTGAGCAATCTCATTTCGATTAATAAAATTACAGTTGTGTGTTTGATTCGTATTTATCATACTAATCGCGGTATTATATAACAGCAAGTTACAAATTACTGCGATTAGCAACTCGGGTTATAAGTCATGGGAACGGCTCCATGTTAATCCCTTTTCTCCTCAAGTCATTGAATCTTGATTAAGTTCTGTGGCTGTGGTTAGAAAGGTATATGTAGAGATTTCGATAATCCTTGAGATTTACATTTTAGTTGAACAGACATCCTTCACAATCTTTTCTCGCCATTTAATATATGTAATATTTATTTTAGGCTTATTATCCGTCATCTATTACACGGTTATTTCACAAGAAATTTGAAGTCATGCGTCAAGTCACAGTCATCACCGCCGCTTTAATGGCCATGTGCCTGTTGATACACTCTGTCAACGTTTCAGCAAAGTCATCCAGACTACACTCTTACCAGAGCTCTGGCACGGCGATGTTTGGAAAGAGAACATCTGATTATATATCATCAGTTGCGGAGATAGACGAATTGATCACACAATCTTTGGAAAATCTACTCACGCTGAGAAAAGCATTTGACGTACTCATGGACAGAGCTGAAAACACCGCCGATGTACAAGAATAGGTAATTATATTAATTTATACATTGTTAATATGAAGCCAAATTTGTATAGCTTAAATCTGAGACGTATTTTTGGACTATCAACGTAGCAATGAAACGTAACCAATCGCGTTTATCTTGCAATTATACTGGCGCCATCTGTAACGCATTTTAGTAAATGCAAATATGAAAGATAAAATTTGTCACAGACATGTACTTCGAATATCTTCAATACATGCTCAGTCGCGTGGATTGCGATTATGATAGGACGTGATGTCACTACTACAGTACAGTGTTGTAGTGAAACTAACATGTTACTGTTCGACTTTTCCAGTAAGCAAGTAATTAGTGTACACCGGTATATTTATTTGAATAATGATTCGAGAATAATTGTGACGTTTAATAAAAGCGCATTGCATTTACTTTTACTTCATGATGCGGTGTTAAACGTATAGTGAATAGAATGTTATTATCAATAGTAATACATTGCAATACAGGATGTTTTTTTAAAAGTCATGTTCATCGATTATCGATTATGTGCCACAATTAAACGATATATTAAACAACAATGGCAACTACCAGAAGCCAACATGTTGCTGTTTTTTCGATGACATTGATACAACTGTTTTGCTCCAGGCAAATGCATTTGGACAATAGCCACGACGTCGATGTACGTCAATGTACACTTTGATGTTTCTATTCTTTTTAAAATATTCATTGTTCGGTGAGTTGTTTAAAACGAAGAAGATCTATAGCATCAATCTTTGTTTTCAAAGGTCGTGTACGACTCTAAAATTAAACTTATTATTTGGCAAAGACAATTCTACTAAATGACATTTGAGTGATGTTAGATTGGTTACTAGAGTCTTGCCACACAAAACCTAATTACAATTTTCATTTTATTCTTTCAGATAATCTTTATTCGTTTCCTTCTCGTCTATGTGGTTTGCCTCGGATAACATTTTACTTTATTTGCAATATCGGTGTGGTGCACGGCGCAGTTGGTCTATTTCCCAATCATGATTTACCTATTGCTAGTAACGACGCCCTAGAACAGACCGGATACCTTCGAGCAGTCGTACACATTTGTCGCACGTTCTTATTAATTTAAACTCAAAATTTCATTTTGTTTTCATGATGTGTATTTTTTATTTGTCACTGGGCAGAAATAAAGTGCACGCAATGTAAATAATTTATGACAATGTTGTAGTTTATGTCAATAGTTTCATCTAGATTTTCATGTTAATTAAACATATCACTTCGATCATGCGCTGGTGTATTATCATTTTATCTCACAGTTTTAGCGTAGTTATTGGACGCTTACCTTCTGCTACTCGTACACAGTCTACAACTTTATCGACAATGAGTCGGTTGTTGAGTACTTGTATTAATTGTATCACCTGCAAAGGTCTAGGGATTCATACATAGATGAATTACCCTTTTGACGAACGTTTTACATCAGTTTACAACACGATATCGCAGACATAAAGATGTAACATCTATTACAAAATATAAAAAATGAAGAAACGATCCGCGATATTTTTGGGTAAAACTAAGTTCACAAAATAACCATCAATATTTACTAAAAGTACTATTTGAAATTGTATTCATTTGAATGGATTTATAATTCAAACGTGGTCCGTCTTTGCATTAGTTTTGTACAACATCAGGTGAAATGGAAATCAATTTGAAATGGAAACAATGCTGCTGCATTGTAATGCATTTCCGTGAGGGCAAACAAATGCAAATATGAACCAAAGTAATAGAAACATGTTATCACGACCTTGGGAAATTAAAACAAAGTTTCACTTGGAATGCTACAGTGTCGTGAAAATGTAAATATCGAATCCTTGTACTTTACAGTTGAACACATGTGTACTTTCAAAAAGGTCGTTCACAAAAAATTGTTAAGACAAACAAGAATTATGCAATTGAATTTCCATTCCCTAATATGACGGATACTTAACAGCCTTAACTGGAAATGGACATCAATATCTCTTAGTGTCACACTGCTTGTGATGCAAAATGAGAACAACACATCGTATTTACACAATCTGCATATGAAATATACGGTACGTTAACGACTTAAAATACAATAACAAAATCGAGGTAATGCCCCACTTTGGAGCAAATAGTTCCGAAGCTTGACGAGAATTCAAATATGAACTATTATTGTATCTCAATTTATAATACACTTCACATTCGGCGTGTTACGTCACCCTTCTGTGTTCTAAGCTACGTGACGTCATCATTCACGTGTCTCTCACTGTAGGATGCTAACATAGGAAGTTAGATTTGTCACAATTGTAATACTTGCAATGCAAATTCCAGTTCGTTGAATAACTTATTGTTTTATATTACATTTCATATTTCCCACACACATAGGTTCGATCGTTGACTTTTCTTTTTATATAATAACAAACCAGAGAACATTGATTCCTGCATTCAAATCTCGTTATCCATCTTCGGTAGGGTATATGCGTGGGACATTATGATAGTTCAACACGAATAATATTCCTGAGGAACTAGAAATGAACATGTTAGAAATATCAAATATCGAATAGCAACAACAGTTGTTTGAACTTCTACACTCTTGTAAAGAATGTGTCAGATTCAATCACGGGAGTAGTATAAATCCCCGAAATGACATTTTGAATTCGTTCTTTTCCATAATCACACACACAAACACACTCAACGTCAACTGTTGTCCCTGCAAGCTAGCACGTAGGTATCTACAAATCGCTGCTGGTATAGATTTCTCAATCATTGCTTACTGAATTTAACAACGGGACCCAGAGCAAAACGTACTAAGACACGAGTGGGAATGAGCTTACATCCACATCGGATTGACCACGCACTGGCAGCTGATTTTAGGGTTCTCAACTGGCTGTACTTAGTTAATTGCGGTTCATCTTGATGGTCAATATATTATTTTCTACTAGTATAGCTATAGCTAAGACAGGAACTTCGAACATTGGATTTATCGCCCACGTTAAATATAGAGACAAGTATGGTACAGATCTAATATTGACATCCTCTATAAACATTTCTATATGTGGGACCTTCGTTTATTGCAAATCAAAATCAGCTAGACATTTATCAGCTGCAAATAATTAATGAAAGCTATGACTATGCACTAACAGGCCTAGGCAAGGTCGATCTGACTTGCGTGAGATGACAAGACTGTGTACGTCCGTCGTGATCATGTGGCCACTCATTCTAGGGGAACACCGGGAATATAAAAAATGACTGACAATGATAAACTGACAGGTGTTTATTGTTTTGTTTTTTTGTGCCTAGAGAAATTGAGATCATTGTAAATAATCACAATTATTGAATTATTTTTTACACCTCTCAAAGTGTGCTGTGCAATTTAACAAGCGTGTCGCTATTTCAGAAAACGCTGTGTCATGTTAAACATTGCAATAACAAAATCATGTTATCATTGATAATAAACATGCTAACCTTCCCTCGGTGCGCTCTGCGTAAGCTTCCATGACCGTCTTTTTGTCTACGGCGTGTATGAACAGTCGCGTATTCACTGACTACATGTTATCTAAGATCAAACAAAGACACCGAAATCACGGAAGGATATTCATATAGCGGGAAACATGCATGAAGATTACTTATTTATTTCATTATTGTTTATTCACGGGTTACACTTATTTTCTTGGTTTTAATATTTTACTGTCGACAATGCTTGAACTGAAATATTTCCTTGCCTGTTTTTTTTCGAAATCTTCTACGAACAGTTCCTTGCAAGTCGAGCGTAAACAATGCTTTCCGAGCCATCTGAATTCAAATGTCTCAATTAATGAAATAATACGTGACACGTGTTAACGAAATCAACCACTCCACAGTATCTGTTAATAACTCATGTTGATAGCCAGGTATGTATCTGTGACATATCGATCGAAATTACCGTGTGCATGTGTGTATATTTACGAGTGTCAAACAACGTATATCCCCCCACAGTACGTGTGTGGCAATTTTAATTGAAGTCACATGGGACTAATGCCAATATACATGTGACGTGATTTGTATTCTTGATGAGTTTGTAAACGCTCTTTAACCCTTTAAATTGAGTTGCGAATCAATTGCGTGGAAAGAAATATTGATGTTTAAAACGGCCTGGGATGTGTATATTGAAGAGGTAATAAAAAAGTCGACCTTCTGTTTCATTAGCGAATTCGTCAATTTGTAATTGGGCTGCAATATTAGTTTGACTTCTATGTAGTCCCCATGACTAATAATATATCGTGCTAAGTGTATGTGAAGGGTAAACGTCATGAAAGCAAATGACCAATCAGAGCATGTTTGGAACGAGGACACGGATTCTCTACTTCTGTAATATAAGAGAGGCACACATATTTACAGACTACATATTATTCAATGCAAGCGGGAAATAACACAGTACACACAAATAAGATTCACTTACAGCTATGAGGACTCAAAGATTGTCGCATCAACGGTTAACCTTTACTACAAGTTGACTACAGTGCAGATCGCGTCTGTAAATTATATTTTTTTTTGCATCACACTCCTCAAGTATTTTAATGAGGCATCCCTTCAAACCGGAAATGGATATATTAGAAACGCTAATTGATGTGTCCCTCCTACAGACCACGTGTTCAAACCCTAACACCAACAAGACCACACCTTCCTATTATGGGTAAGTGTATACATATACCACTGACAGAGAATTGATGTTGGTAACTTGGGTAAGATCCACAAGCGTTTATCAAAATATGATTACACAACCCTGCCACGTAATCTGAAACATAAGTTTCCTGTGGCAAAATGCACACTTGTTCGATCTAAATACATCAGACTGAAGGAAATAGGTTAGATAAAAGGTGATAGCACGCATAAACCTGTATTTTGAATTGTATAAATAAAACTTCATCCCATGGAGTTATGCACATGGCAGGTGCTGTTCGAAATCTCATCATCAGTACGAAATGGAATATACCGTTGATGATAACAAGTAAGACTCATGGGAAATATGGTACATATTGAAATTTCAAATAAAATAAAATATCAATATAATAGCAAACATATATTCTGCCCTATTGGTTATAAGAGCGGCAATTAATAGTCATCTCTCTATATATTTATATAATTCAATTTCGTCTCAATATAGACGTATGTATGCCACCAGTGTCAGCTTACCTTACATAAGTCTTTTCTTCGCTTCGTAACGGCGAGCCCCTGACCCTCTGATTAATAATGGTTTCTTGGGGAAAGGGAAATTTTAATTTTCCCGATTTTACATCGTTGTAATCTTCTACTTATTTTGGTTATGAATCCACTACTAGTAATCCTCTTTGCGCAATTAGTTGTAACTCTGTATTTCTTTATTATTAGCATGGTATGGTGCGGCATAACAGTCTGGTTTTATTGATAATGTTTATGTTAATATTGTAGATTCACTGTACCATTCTCGGTAACTGATAACGGAAACGAGGCTGGACAGACAGTACAATACTCACATCACCACATACCCTATTACGACATTTGAAAGAAAAACGAAATGTACAATATTCGCCAATATGAACAAAACAAATATATAATAAACACATTATAATTTCGGAATGATCAAAAACTAATTATTTACCATTAAAATAATTGGCATAAACAACTACTTTTGATGAGTAAGCTTAGTCCCACATGAACCTGGTGTCATCTGGAGCATTGTCAAGTTCTTACTTCTGATGAACTATTGTACCAAATATGTTGGAGATCTATGATATACAATGTATCACTGACACGAACTTTGGTAATCGAATTGCTATTTAAATATGCAAGAATATTTATATTAGATATACAAATTAATTTTAGCTGAGATGCAATTTAGAATGTTGATATATATATATATTTTTTTAATTTATGATGAAGACTTAGTAGCTTGAGTTTACTAACAATGATTCACAACCCGCAACGCCATATTGGATGAGGGGTTTGTTCGAGGGTAGAATTGATTCCGAATCGACCCCTTACATTATCGGTGTTTTGATAACCATCGCCAAGTGTTAGATGTTTACTCCGCGTTGATATCGCCTATGTCGACTTGTTTTACACCTACAACCTTACTGGTGAACTATCTTGTGTGTAGTAAAGAACGCCGCTGGCTTATATATGTCCACTCTGATGCACACAGTCTTAATACATCGTTTTAAGTTGATGTCATGCTTTACGTGAAGTGCTTTTTTTCAGTTCAGTTCAGTTCAGTATTTTTTATGTTTCTATTGTTACCCCATAAAC